AAAAATAATAAAGGCGGGATACAAATAAATAAATAAAATTAAAGTTTCCATTTAGCCCAGCCCTAGAAATCTGTACAAACAGAGCTGAGCTAGAAGACCATGATCTGACTGGATATCTGGCAATTTTCTGTGCTGCTATGATATTTCACTCCTAAGCCAAGTAGAAAAAAACAAGCTTTTTCTGTGAGATTAACAATTTGTCTCCTGGTTAGGGTTAGGCTTAGGGTCGGCATCTGTATTTGTAATCATGTTCTATGACAGGAGTGTCAAACTCAAGGCCCACAGGCCACGTCTGGCCTCTGGGATGCTTAGATCTAGCCCGCGGGGCCACCATGGAAATGGAGAAGGATTGGCCCGCAGTGTCTCTGCCAGTGAAAACAAAGTTCGGGAGGGTCACCTCCATTTTTCCTGGCAGAGGGTTGACGGAGGCAGTTGCAGCCAAAAACAGCTCAGGAGCCTGCTTTTGCTGGCAGAGTTCTCGGGCCACTACAGGCGCCCCAGACGTGAATCGCGTTGAGCTGGCCATGCCCCCTAACCACCATCCTTGAGGTCTGATGCGGCCCTCAATGAAATCAAGTTTGACACCCTTGTTCTATGAGTTGAACATTTAGTTACTAGGAAATTATTTGAAGAGCTTCATTTGTTAGTTTTTAAAACTTTGTTTTCGACTATAGCTTTTATATCATTTTACCGTTTGGTCCGTCAACAGCCTAGAGGCATGCAAGTGAGATGGGCGATCTAGAAATTTGATAAATAAATAAAAGAAATCTCAACTGAGGTAAACATACTTACAAAGGAAACAAAAGCAGCCAAGAGAAGGATGCGTACTAGGAGATCTTCAAACTGCTCCAATATTAGTTCCAGAAGTGATTTTCCTACAAAGTTAATTTAAATCTGTTAGAATAATAAAAAAAACCAGCATAAAATAAGTAAAAATCAAGAACATGGAGTCATAACCTCAAACTGAGAGGTGGGAAGTTCAAAAGCGTTCTTAGAAAGTATGACTTCACAAAGAAAATAGTAGAAACTTGGAACCAACTTCAGCTGCTGGTTCAATCATCAGTAATTGAGTTTAAACATGCTTGGGACAAACACGTGTCCATCATCCGACAAAAATAAAGAAATAAAACGAAGATAAATAAATTTCTAAAATAATGAATTAAAAATTAATTAAAAAGACATTATAAAAGACAAATACACTCAAAGGGCAGACTTAATGGAACATTAGGTTTTATTCTGTCATCAGTTTTTTAAGTTTCTATCCCAGAAATACCCCTTACATATGTATTTTAAAAAGTAGGATGCATAAAAAAAAAACTATAGATGAAACTAATTCTGTCAGAATGGGAAAAAAATGCAAACTTAAGTATGCTTCTATCTCCCTTTGATAATAGGAGGCTTATGTTTGACCTTCAAAAGCAAGGAATTGTTCTTGGATGGTATTTTTAAATGTATATAAACTAACATGAACATCAATAAAAATCCTGACACAGCAAAAATGTAACATGTCAGAGAGAAAACTAGAATGTAATCACTAATACTGGTTGTCTCATTTTTTTAGGCAGAGGAGTAACACCAATGGAGAAATACAAAGAATGGGACATTTAGATAAATGGTATCCAGACTACAGTAGGCCCTTTTGTCACAATTTGGAATATTAGTGCAAGAACCACACATTTTATGGTAAACATGCAACTATATAAAGATATAATTTATGATAAACAGGATACTGGATTTTTCAGAGTATAAGACGCACCAAGATTTTGAAGAGGTAAATTTTTTTAAAAAAGGTTTTGCACTCTGCAGGCCTCCCAAACCCTCTGCACGTCTCATTTTTTTGTGAAAAACGGGGCATGCAGAGAGTATGAGAGGCCTGCAAAGTGCTACTGGGGGCTGGGGGGGGAGGGGAAAAAAACGAACAAAAAAGGGCCCATTTTTTGCAAAAAA